GTGATATTACGATATTTGATTAGAATGATTCTTCCATTGGTCTGAATTCTAATTTTTGATATATGGTGGTTGATTTTGCTTTTTTCGGGATTACATTGAGTTGAATTGTTCTATCGATTGATCTTAACTCTTCCAATTCTGATTGACTCTGCTTTCTCTCGGCATGCCTTACCCACTTTCTTCGCTTAGTTTTGCATATCTTGAATATCAAGAATACGATTCGGAATACGTTGCATCGGAAGAATATCATTAGTAATAGAGCGAGAGCGATAATTGCGACAATAGATATCGAAATTAACACCCATGGTTCTGATAACTCTTCTATGATTTGTTGAATTCCACGGGATGCAATATTGAAATCTTCCGTTACTCTATCGATGAAATGTTCGGTTTCTGTTGCGATGATTCCTTCTTCATTTTCTTCTGGATGATCTTCTTTTCTCTTGGTCTTGACTGCTATCCATTTTTCTTCCGAGATTAGCTTCAACGCCAGATCGATTTTTCTCTGATTATAATGAGATAGGACGCCCGCTTTGAATACGATTGGATATTCATTGACCTTTGTTTCGTTGTTCTTGCAGGGAGAGATCCACAATCCCTCATGACCCCTTTCTGCTCTGAGATCATTTCTTTGAAGTAAAAGCTTTGCTGCCGTCGTAGCGTTGTTGTGAGTGATGTATTTGATAACATCGATTACCATATTTCTCGTTGCACAGTCTTCTCGTAGAGCTATATTGACTTGCGATTTAATTTCATCTTGTAGTTCGTCCACCATAAATTGGAATTTTGGATTTTCGGGATCCCATTCGGAATCCTCTGGACTCTCTAGCTGGGTGGCTTCCCATATTTTTTCTTGGTTTAATATCTCAGTGGTATTATCTTTTTTGCTTCTTTTTGGTCTCACTACATCTCTTTTTGCAAGAACTGATAAAACGATGTCATTTTCCATGAATTTTGGTTTATAGAATTGACAGGCTTTGGTGTCGTTCCTTTCGGAAGATGCCATTATTAGCGATGCTTGTAATTCTTTAATCAGAAAGTGCGAGCCTTTTTTGAGAGCGCTGTAAGTTCCAATTTCTTCATATGGACATTGCGTTTGAATTGAACTAACATTCCACCATATTGTTCGTCTTTCTGTTGTGCAATTGTTCCATTTGATAGGACAGCCTGTAAGTTCTCCAAAGTCGCTGAATAGTTGAGAGTCTTCTCCAATAAGGATGAATCCCTTCTCGATCTGATAATTGATGACGGGATAGCATGTTGATCCAAAAAAACCATAGCTATAGTGCGTTGGGACTTGTGATTCCCATTTGTTTTCTCCAACTGCTAGTAACGCCACGTCGTTGAAACGTTTGTTTTGATTCATTGCCAGACAATCCTCCAGTTTCATTGGTTCTATTGTTGTTTCGTCCATCGTTACCTCGAGCCACCATCGTAAAAAGCTTCTCGTGCAAACAGTTCTTATTATTTTTGAACATGCTCCGGCTGAAAGTTTCATTGGTATGCGTGAATGAATTGTTACGATTAACTTTTTCACGAAGTCATGCTGCTGACCGATGGTACTGCAATTTCTTGTTTTTGGGAACCGCATGAATGCTCCATAAT